TCTGCAGCGTCTTATGTAAAAGGTGTCGGCACTCTGCATATTAGAGACCAAACCAGCTAGAGAGATGGCTCGAAGGACTGAGTGCAAGCTTTGGGAGGTTCAGGGTTTGGGGGTTCGATCCTCAGTACTGCCAGAAGTGACACACATCACCTGCCCAACACACACACACACACACACACACACACACACACACAAAAGCACAGAGCAAGGAGTAGCTCCCAGGCACAGCCAGGTATAACCCGAAAACAAAAGAACGAAATAGGGTGCATGTCAACAATTCACTGACAAGTTCAAACAGGAAAGCTGTTCTGTACCTTAAAATCTGTTTTGCTTTGTTTTTTTTTGTTTTGGGGTCAGACCTGGTGGTGGTGCACAGGGCTTACTCCTGGCTCTGTGCTCAGGGATCACTCCTGGCCAACTCGGGGGGGGACAACTCGGGGGACCATCTGGGGGGGTCGGGGATCAAACCCATGTCAGTGGTATGCAAGGCAAACATCTTACCCACTGTATTATCACTCTGATCCCTATACCCTAAATTCAGCAATCTAGCAAAGGCCTTCCTATAAAACTGAAAATGCCATCAGCAAGATATAAGAAGTCACACTTCACTCTCTAGGCACACACTTCTGCACGAACAGTTCCACCTCTGAGATCCACATGCCTTTCCAGAGACGGGCAGAGAGCCCTGGGCCAGTGCGGGCTCTTACACTGCGCAGGAGAGTTCGTTTTCGAATGGGTTCTTAGGCAGCCCTGGTCAAAAGCCTGACTGGGCTATCAGATGCTTGAGACAGCACTGGCAAGATAAATGCACGATCCTCCAAGAATCGGACCTCCAGGATGACACGTACCCGCAACGGAGAGAACTTTGCCTCACATGCCCCAGGCTCTTCTCTGCCTGTTCCTATACGGCCTTGTGAAAACTGTTTCCCCATCACTTGTGACATGCAAATCATTTTCTCCTTCTAGGTGTCATTTTATGGAAGACTCCCAATGGTTAATTATTCTTCGGCCAGGAGGAAAGCCCACTTCTCCTGATTAATTGGTACACTTCCCTTCATTAATCAACGCCAACTATAATTAGCCCCACTTCCGCTTCTGCTCTGGCTAATAAAAACATTTTGCATGGCAGATGCTGGCCTTCAGTTTCTCATCCGAGTCCCCCGGCCGTCCCCTTCGCATGGCGCCGCTCGGAGCCTCTGCTTGGAGCCTTTGCCTTCCCGGGTGTCCTGAGCACCTGTCTAGTCACTGCAAGCTCTTTCCCAGCATAACCACTGCATTGTCACCTGTGGTTCTCTCCAGAGACGCTTCCCTCTCAGCAGGAAGGAGACCAACTAGCTTGCCGACCGTCCACAGGACCTGGGGCACATCAAGGAACCAGCAACAAAAGCACGGAAAGATCCAAGCTCACAGGATAAGGAGGCAGAGAACCAAGTCCACGAAGCTGCCTCAGCAAATCAGTCTTCCATGGCAAGCCAGAAGCGAAGAAGGACATAGGAAATGATGCGAAGAAATCTCTTGGGAGGAGCAGAGCAAACTTGACCGGTGAGGCACTTACATGCATTCGAACTAACCTCTTAAATACCCCAAAAGGAGAGGTCAAGGGCCTCCAGCTAAATCTCTGCCCCTGCTACCAACCTCTACCCATTCTAGGCAGGCCCTGATGCCACTTCCTCCAGGGGACCCTGGCGTGTGGAAGAGCTGGTTTGTGAGGACTTAAACATGTTTGTGCTGGGCCAGGCCCAAGAGAACCGAAGCAGGTCCTGGCTTTTGGGGAGCTTCAAGTCTCTCACTGGTACCAGGGAGCCATCTGTGAGAAAAACGAGTGTCTAGTAACCCCCCGAGAAAGCTCAGAGAATGCAATCAAGACTTGTGATGACAAGAGAAACACGTGGCATCCCTACTGATCCACCAAAGAAGTGAAAGACAAAGGTCCCTGCATACTGTGAGAGCTGTGACTGGCGTCCCACCAGGGAGTGCGGAAGGGGACGGACGGAGTGAGCCGTGGGGCCAGTCCCCGCAGACAGTGAGAGCGCCTTTACCCTCACAGGGGAAGGAAGTCCCTGCACAGGCCAGACTGCCGAGACAGGAGAGAGGGTGCAAGCAGGACGCCCGGGAGGGCCGGTATCAACAGACACAGACTCAGCTGGGAAAGAATGGGAAGATCCAGAGAGCTTCTGGGATAGACTCATTTCCTGCGGGGCCAGAAATGGAACTCGGGTGCTCGGTGGGCAAAGCAGGCACCCAGCCCTCGGAGCAATCTCCCCAGCCAGGTCGCATCTGTTTACCAGGCAAAAAGGGAAGGTCTGAACCTGAAGAATCAGAGGCCACCCACACATGTCTTCGGGGTTCACTATAGGCTAAAGTAGTTCTCCCTAAAAGCCACTGGGGACAGCCATGCAACACAAGAAGAGCGTGTGGGACATGGGACATGGGACATGAGATCAACCACCTCAGAGCTGTCCCACCACTCTGGACTGTCCCTTGGGTCTCTGACCTGCATCCGGGAGCCCCTGAGGATAAAATAAGGAAGGACCGGATGGACGGTGTCTGAGACATGGTGAGGACTCAAGCAGAGGAGTAGGAAAGCACCGGAAACATCTGGACCACGTAAGCGTCTTAGTGATAAACAGTTCCCTTCTCCCTGGGGCCACGAGTAATGACCACAGGCGGTTAAGGTCACCGGTGAGAGAATGTCTATGAAATACCTGCTTCACTCCACAAAACAAGCAGCTTGCAGGTCAGATCTGGACAGGGAGTAAGGATCTCAACACCACAAAGTCACCTCTCCTCTAAGGCAACACTTCTTACTGCATCCCACCATGAAAATCACGACTCACAAGCCCCACTTTGGAAAACACCCTCAAAAACTCAAGACAACAGGAGCCAGAGCAACAGGAGTACAGCAAGAGGGTGTTTGCCTTGCAGGTGGCTGACCCGGGCTCGATCCCAATATCTGTTATGGTCCTCCAAGCACCGCCAGGAGTAATTCCTGAGTGCAGAGGCAGAAGTAACCCCTGAGCATCACCAGGTGTGGCCCAAAAACAAAAACCAAAAAACCTCAAATGATAAAACTCAGCTAGGGCACAGCCACTGGGCTATGCAACTCCTGCTAAGCCTTAGGCGGTGGCAAGGGCCAGAACTCAGCCTTGGAGAAGAGCTGGTCACAACAAGGAGAAGTGAGAGGCCCTGGGGGCAGCTCAGGGACAACGGCATGGAACCCCAAGAGTCTGGGGTCTTGAGGTCCACAACCACACATGCACGTGCGACTCCCGTCACAGCAACACCAGTGACTCAGGGATGTCTAAAATGTGCATTTGTTTTAAAAGGGGGGAAAAATGTAGAAACACCCCTTACTAAAATAATTGCAAAAGGTTTGTTTCCCAAAAAATTTAATTTGATTAACACCCATCTTTAAAACAGATTTGGAGCCACAAGTCACTCCATTAACCCATGTCACCTCTTAAATGTTTACTGGGACCTATCTGCGGGGGCCACGACCAACAGAGCTGGTGGGGGCGGGGCTTCTAGGAGGTGTACAGAGGGACCATGCCGTGCTGGAATTGGGGGGGGATCAAAGCCATTTCCTTGGCCCTATAGTGACCATCATTAAAGCTGTATTTACTCCTTCTCCATGAACCAGGTGTATCAATACAGCACCTAGCATTCTACATATGTGCCACTGGTCACGAGCTTTAAAGACCACACCTTGCCAAGTAAACCGATTATTCCAGAATCCAGTTCTCCAAACCAGGACTACTCCTCAAATTATCCTACTGTCCAGAGTGCCCTTCAATACTGTCCTCAGCATCCCTCCAGCAAGGGTCCCCAGGACTGACCAAGGGGAGCCATGAGTGACAACTGCAGAAAAAAGGGGCAATGAGAGGGGGGAGGGGCAACTGGTAAGACAGGGAGGCCACAAGAAGTTAGGTCAGCAGGGGTGACCGTGGGGAAAAGGCTGAGAAACTCTGCTCTCTGCTGAGGACCAGAGCGCGTCCCACGCACCGCCAATAGTAAATCCCAAAGGCAGAACCAGGCGTAACCCCTGAGCATCGCCAGGAGTGGCTCAAAAGGGAGAGTGGGAAAGAAAAAGGAAGAAACTCCAGGGCTCATACCAACCCAATTTCAATTTCCTCAATCTTTTTGGGGGGCACATTAAAAAGTGGGGTTTCCGCCCCACCCGACCACTAAACTCGTTCTCCGTACTGGCTGGCACTTGAGAGGCAACAGCCGAAGGGGCCAAGGTGCAGCTTCCCCACCCGGAGCCTCGTCCCCGCGGGGCCCTAACTCCCCTCGGGAAAGTGGCAACCCGCGGTGCGGAGTACGGACGGGGCCTGCGGGCAGGACAGCATGGGATGAGCCCTGGGTAACATCTGCGGCTCGGAGACAGAGGCGCGGGAGCGCGGGGGGCAGCAACGCAGGCAAATCCAACGCGTTCAAGACCGACACGGATTGCCCCCACCCCGCCGCCTCGCACGCCGCATGCACAACTCCTCCCGGGAGGGCTCCGTGGGGGGCTGGCCTGGCACCCGAACGTCGACTGGACGGACGGGCGGAGACACGGCCTCGGTCCCCCAGGCCCCCGAGGCTGATCACCGGCCGATCCACGCGAGCCACCCCGGGCACCCCGCCCGGGCCCCCGAAGGCTGCACCCGCAGCCCCGCGGGGTGGCCCCCGCCGCCGCAGGTCCCCCCCACCACCACCCCGGGGGATGTCCCCGAGCGCCGGGCCCGACCTGTCAGCCCCGCGGGCTCCCCGCGCGCCCCGCTACGTGCCGGGGCGGACGGAGGCGCCGATCGGGGCCCCGGGAGGTGGGCGGGGGGGAACCGGGGCCCCGCAGGCCGCGCGCCCGGGCCCCGGGAGGCCGCGCCGGCTGCGCGCTCGGACCCCGGCCGGGCGGCGGCGGCAGCAGCGGCGGCGGCGACGGCGGCGGCGAGCGCGGGGCCCCGGCGGCGCCGGCTCCCGCCCGGGACACAAAGCGGCGCCGCGGGAGCCCGCCTCACCTGCAGCCCGGGGCGCCGCGGCCTTCGAGAACCATCGGAGCGCGCTCCGGCCGCGCGCGCGTCACAGCCCGGGCCTCCCGCCGCCGCCCCGCGCCGCCGCCGCCGCCGCCGCCGCCATTTCCTCGCGCTCGCCGCCGCCGCCGCCGCCTGGTCCCCGCTGTCAGGTTACTCCATTCACCTGGGCCCGGAGCCGCCCGCGCCGCGCCGCGCCGCGCCTCGACCCCTCCCGCCCGCGCCTGCGGAGACTGCGCAGCGCCCGGCCCGCCCGCCGCCCGCGCGCCGCCCGCGGCACCGGCGTAGCGCCGCTCCGAGAATGCCACCCGCGCCCGCGCGCCCCCGCCGCGCGCCCGCATGAGAGCGCGCCGCTGATTGGCCGCGGCGCGCCGGTGAAAGGTTAAGCCCGGCGCCCCAGCCACTCAGGAGCCGGGAGACAGCGGGCGCCGGCCGCGGGGGCGGCGTCGGAGGCCCGGCCGCCGGCCGGGACCCCGCGCGCCTCGGCCTGCGTTGCGGCCCGGCGCCTGCACGGCCCCCGCGGGGTCGCGGCCGGCGCGCTCGCGCGGAGCTGGGGCAGCCCCGGGTTCCAGGCGTCGTGCCCGCTAGCAGCGTTGCCCCCTCGGGCGCTCCTTACCTCCCCCTCCCCTCTGTCGGTCCCTTGCAAGTGGTCCCCGGCTCTGGCGCTGACCACCACCCGACCCTCCGCACCCCAGAACTGGAATCGCTCCTGCCCCGGGAGGCAGTGGCCCCGTTTATGGAAATCGGTCATTTGAGTAGGTCGCAGCTGTGCACGCAGCCTTGTGACCGTGACTGAACAGCAGGGATGGAAGTGCAGTCAGCGCCAGCCCAGACTCCCTGCCCTGAGCCCAGGACAGGCCTTGCTTCCAGATGATTCCCCACCAGTTCTCTGCGTTCACCTAACGACGCGCAGGACAGCACCGTCCGTCCCCGCTGGCCTTGTGCCACCCTGCCCTGCGGGCCCTTCTCAGAAATCAGAAAGTCAGATGTCGGTTTTCTGTACCCCCGAATATTCCTAACGATTTCAGTGACGACCGGCCGCAGTAATACAGTAACTTTTGGATACGTTGTGGTCAATATGTTTCATTTCATTTCTTTTGATTTTGTTTCAATGTGATCGTTTGAATCTCCCAGGACTGACAATACCCTTCGTGTTGCACTTTGAAGTTTGGTGACTTAGAGACCTAGGGATCTTTTCCCGGACTCTGAGAGGTGTAACTGCCCGGGTGGAGTGGGTTGACGGATACATAGTTGCAATCATGTTACTGTCTATGGTATACAAAGTTTTCCTAAAGAAACAGTAACACCAGCAACAAAGCCGCTACTAAGTGAACAATGGGAAAGTGAATCGAGGTCGTCTAGCTTCCGCCTGGTGTGTTCTACCAGGAACTACCGTGCTCACATCCGGTCATGTATTCTGTGACAAATTGGCATGAAGTTTCACCTAAACAGAGACTGGACTTAGACTGCTCCTGGCAGGCCTCCAGGAAAGTCGTGTTTCTTCTAAATGTGAAGCTTTGTAGTCAACAGCACTGCTCAGATGAATGTGAATGTTTGAAGATAATCCTTCCGTGGAAGGATGACTTGGGGAGGGAGAAGGGGAGCACTGGAAGTGGGGTCCAGTTCATGGAAGAAGTGTGTGGATAGGTAAACGTTCAACTCCTCTCCTGCTGCCAAAAAGTAGCTGGATTTGCTCCCAGTTTGCCAATTTCTTTCATTCTCAACAAAATTTTTAATTTCTGATTGTTGGAGTTTTTTGTTTTTAGGTGTGTGCTTGTGTTTTTTGGGGCTGGAGCAATAGCACAGTGGGTAGGGCGTTTGCCTTGCATGCAGCTGACATGAGTTGATTCTTCCATCTCTCTCCAAGAGCCCAGCAAGCTACCAAGAGTATCCCACCCACATGACAGAGCCTGGCAAGCTCCCCGTGGTGTATTCGATATGCCAGAAACAGTAACAAGTCTCATTACTGGGCCCGCTCAAGCAAATCGGCAAACAACAGGAGGACAGTGCTTCAGTTATTTTTTTTTTCGGCCACACCCAGCTCAGGACTTGCTCCTGACTGTGTTCAAGGATCACTCCTGGCAGGCTTGGGAATCCAATATGGTGGTATCAGGGATCTAACCCAGGTAGGCCTCCTGCAAGGCAAGCACCCTATCCACTGTACTACCGCTCCTGCCAATTTAGTTTTTACTTATTTTTTATTAAATCACCATGAGATACACATTTACAAAGTTTTCTGTGATTGTGTTTCATTCATACAATGTTCCAACACCTGTCCCTTCACCTGTGTACATTTCTTTTTTTTTTTCTTTTTGGGTCGCACCCGGCGATGCACAGGGGTTACTCCTGGCTCTGCAGGAGAGGAGAATTACCCCTGGCAGTGCTCAGGGGACCATATGGGATGCTGGGAATTGAACCCAAGTTGGTGGCATACAAGGCAAATGCCCTACCCTCTGTGCTATTGCTCCAGCCCCACCAGTGTACATTTCTTATCCCCAGTGTCCCCAATTTCCCTTCTTCCACCCCCTACCCCACTATGACAATGGCAGTTGGATATGATCACTCTGGACAAGAATTGAGTGGTAAAAGTAGACAAAGGAATATACATGATAATCTTATGGTACCTGTACTACAAACCATTATGACCCAAAGGGGAGTGGGGGAAGGAAGGGAGGGACAATGAGAAAGAGAGGGAGGGAGAAGGTTTTTATTGTTTAAAAAAATGCATCAGGGGCCAGAGCAATAGCAGGGCATTTGCCTTGCATGTGATTGACCCGAGTTCAATCCTCAGCATCTCATATTGTCCCCCAAGCACTGCCAGGAATAATTCCTGAGTGCAGAGTCAGGAGTACCCCCTGAGCATCACTGGGTAGGAACCAAAAACAAAAAGGAAAAAAATGCAATTAGTTCATCAGAAAGAATAAAAAGGATCCAAAGAATTCCCTTCTCTGCACATATACCCCAGTCCCCTGGTCTTTTTTTTTTAACCTAATGTATCAAGAACATATGTTTATAGCAATCTATACTAACTTCCTCACTATTTTATTTTTATTCCTAGTAACACACTATTGCCGATACAAACCATAATTTATTTAGCCAATTCTCTGTTGATGGCTTTTAGACTCCTGGCCTTTCCTAATTAAACATTGATCCATTTGAACTGATTCCGTGTAGAGAGGGATGGATCCCAATTCATTTGTGTCCAGCCGGCTACACAGCTGACCATTTGTTGAAGATTTCCTTCTAGCCTTGCTTTTGTTCTGTGGGGTCTGGCTGTCCACGCTCCAGTTGCTAGCTTGTTTTAAATCTGGAAACATAATCTGTAAAGGATAGTGTTTCACGCTTTGTTTGGATCACTAGAAATCCTAGAGCTAATATTTCAGCTTGCGGGAGCACCGTGCAGGACCATGGGGGTATGCATTTTCCATGGGCTCATTTTTATTTTTCCTTCGCCCTGATTATTTCCACAATTGGTTTTGCTTTGTGTGCAACAAGCCAACATAGAACTAGACCTTTAAGACTCTCTGTTTGCAAATAGAAATCTGTCCAAAGTAGCACTATCAAGGGAAGAATGTATCGCAAGGAGGTAGGAGTAGGGTACAAAAGTGGGTTGCAGAGAAATAGGGCTACATCTTAGGAAAGGACAATCACGGAGTTAAAAGGCTTCCAGGAACCCGAATTATACTCTCTTTCTTCCTGAGATTCTCCCCTCCCCTGCACGCTTGCTTCGTCTTTGAATGTCTCTCTACTGCCTGGTTCTCTCTGCCTTTCCAGCTATACAGAAGAGGAAAGGCAGCTAGAACTTCAGCATGGGGCAGGGGGTGTGGAGGGGACCAGGGAGCATAAAAATAATAAAACAAGGAAAGGGGCAGCAGGTCCCAAAGTGAAGAAGTTGATTAGAGTGATGCAAAGTCCAGAGAAATACGATTCTCATGAGAAAGGTACCCAGACTTTTTTTTTTTTTTGGAGGGTCATACCTGGTGATACTCAGTGGTTACTCCTGGCTCTGCATTAGGCAATCACTCCTGGTGGTGCTCGGGGAACTCTATGGGATACTGGGGATCGAACTGGGGTTGGCTGTATGCAAGGCAAATGCCCTTCCTGCTGTGCTATCGCTCCAGCCCCATAATCCAGACTTCTCACTGTGCAGTGAGTACAAGCACAGAATAGCAGAAGATTTCAATGTGAACTGAAGGTAACAGAGGAACACTTGGGGCACAGAAAGCCTGGGGGCTCTCCTAGTGATTCTCAGACAACCAGGTAAGGGCCCAAGGATGTGTTTCAGTATCAGGGTTACTTAGAGGTGCTCAGGGACCTCCAAGGTTATACCCAGTGATCATGTGATCCAGGAGGTCACACTGAAGTCCGCCACACAGAAGGCAAACTTCTTAATTCCTATGTCGATTCTTCAGACTGAATTGTGGATTTTTTTTTATAGAAAATCTCACTAAATAGTGAGGTAAAGATATGCATGTGTCCGGACATATTTATGTATATTTACTTATGCATATGCATCAATGATTTAGCCAGTGATTTCCTAGCTCTTTCATGAATAGGGCTCAGACAAGCAGCATTGCAACAGCTGGGAAAATACTGAACACCCAAGTTGAAACACTATTTGCCCCTGAAGGTACCGGATCTCCTGGAAGAACTATCTGGAAGTGGAGGTATTTCAAAGGGATAAAGCAATTCACTTAAAAAAGGTTCCTTCTGGACCTATAGGACAGCAGGTAGGGTACTTGCCTTGCATGTGGACAATCTTGGTTTGATCCCCAGCACCCCATAAGGTCCCCTGAGCACCATCAGGAGTTATTTCAGAGTACAGAACCAAGAGTAACCCCTGAGCATTGCTTGGGTGTGAAACAAAAACAAAAAAAAGGGGTTCCCTCTGCCCAAATCTGAGACAATCTGATCACCAAACTAAACGGTAACTGGGAGATTATATCCCATGAGAGAAAAGAGAAGAATCTGTGAGCCTACAGTATATACACACATGTACTAATATATATGTGTGTGTATACACACACATACATATATATCAAACTAGACAGAAAATGGCCTGGCTGTAGTGATAGCACGGTGGGTAGGGTGTTTGCCTTGCATGCGGCCAATCCAGGTTCGATTCCT